GGGGGGGGAACAAACAAAACAACTGGTGGTATATTGTACCAGGTCAGACCCCAGCAAGGGTAAACACATTAAACAAGCTGTGCTGCTGCCTCCTTGTCCTACCGATGTCTCAGTCTGTGCCAGCAGATTGATCCAGGAAGAGGAGGGACATCCCTCTAGAAAGTTTCCTAAGGATCATCCCTGGTGGAGAGAAAGTGTCTGTTATGCAAACTGCAGGGAAATCATTGTGCAGTATGCCCACAGACAATTTCACATGTGTGCCTTATGCTGACTGGCCGCACCCAGCTATTCCAGTCCAAGGCATCCTTTGCCTATGGAGGAAAACACATCAATGAAAAGGCAGCACCGTGAGAGAAAAGATACTCCTCTGTGTCAGAAATCCAAATTAGAACCCATCAAAAAGAATAATGTGTTCTGCTCACACGTCCCAGGAGTAGGTACTGTTCTTTCAGTGTATTAACTATTTACTTTAATTTAAGCAAGCACACATTTAACAAGATTTTGTTACAATTGCTTTAAGCTATAGGGCACGTAGAAATACAGCATGCGCAATGTAGAAAATGGTAGCCCGTTAGGGCTGCCTGTTAAAATGGTGATACTTGCTGCTGCTTACAATTGGTCATTTCTAGAGAATTGTTAGCTAAGTTGATTCTTAAGCACAGAAGTAAAATAAAGGAGTCTTACTAGATTCCACGTTGTTATATTTCCTGGATGGGGTTGGATAAGTCATTACTTCTCAAATGGAGAGAGAGGAAGGGAAATCAGAATTGAAAGTAAATTTATTTTGAACTTCTGAGAGGGTGGAAAATGAAATTCAAAAAGGACCATAAAGGCAGTAAGCAGCTGAATGTCTGTCCAATCCCAAATCGTGTTTCTTACCAAACATAAACGCTAAGACTCCCTCTGGAGTTAACACAATAATTTCCTTTAGGATGGTTGATACCTTGAACCATTGTGGAGGTTGGCAGTGTGAGCACTTTATGCTAGAAGAGGCTGGGTTCTCTACTTTGCCAAGGCTTAGTTCCCCATTGTTTTTAGTACCTTGGAACAGACAATATATTTTGGAGCTCGTGGAGTTCAGTCCCTTCTCCAGATTCAAATCTTTGAGGGTTCAGAGTAGCACCTGAATGTTAGTTACAAGTAATATTGCAGCCCAGAACATAAAAAGCTCTTGTGAGCTTGCCACTAACTAAGGTTGATGCTCTTCTTTGCTTGGCACTCTGGTTTGAAACTTTCTCAATTCAGAACAATGTTTGCCTACCCCACTGACTCTTAATCCCACACACACCCCCGATGGTAATTCTTTCTTCTGCCTCTTCCTGGTCTCATAGAACATAAAGCATAATGCATATTTGGCACTTAGTACTTCTCTTTTTCAGTCTCTGCAGGACAAGAGTTACAATCACTTTGCTGCTATCTATTACTTGTTAGTGGAAAGACTCAAATCACATCGAAGCAGCTTCCCCGTGGAACAGAGAGTTGATGCTCGTCAGCGACGGCCAAGTACCATCGCTGAGCAGACTGTAGCCAAGGTAAGGTCTCACTCCTAGCAGAGCTGGGCTTAAGGCTGTTCAAGACATTCTTCTCTCTCAAAATGGTGTTTCTACATAGATTCACTTGGAATCAATTGCTATTTTCTGATTTCTGTAGTATGTGGACTGGCAGCATCATTTTGGAAAGACTTTTTTGGATTTGCTTCCTGTCAGAACTGTATGATGATGAATCAGTTGTCTGGCATGTCTCCTACAACCGCTCCTGCTACCTCGTGCCCACCCCTGGCGGGGGAGGGAGGAGGGAGAGAAAAGAAAGAGGATTTTGGAGGGGACTGGATAAGCTTTAAATGAGAAAGGGAGGTTGACTGCATTCTGAAGCCCAAAATGCAAACAGTGGTTTTGGCTTTAATGAGTATCTGCATGGTTTTACCTTAACTCCCAGTTTATTTCCCAGTTAAAGGGAAAGTACTGTGCTTGTGCTTCTAATTGGAACACTTCCATTTTTGAGACTTTTAAGTCTTTTGCTGGGAAGTCATGGGTTAAAATGTTAGAGCCATACCATTTCTGGAGACTGTGCAACACTTGGAGTATCTTTAATGTGACTGACAAACAAGCTGGTGAATTTATGGAGAGCTGTGCTAGCATGGGGGCTAAAAGCATGCAGGCGCTACTTAGTGTTTTAAACATAGTCACTCTAAAGGGACCTGTTGAAAATAAAATGACTTTATCCCCTGCTGTTCTCTAGATACGCTTTCTGTCTCCCATGAAATGAAGCACGACAAAGAATAGTAAAGAGGGAACCTAAAGAAAATATTAGGATCAACCTGTCAGGTTAAGATGCCAATTCACTGTGGTATCTTAAGTACCCGATAAAAATATCATTGTCACGAGACTCTTAATGGCTCAAGACTCAGAGATTTGTTCCTAAATAATGTAATTTGTTTTAAGATTTTCACCACTTTTTCCTCCTGTGACCCAGCAAGAGTCCAATTTCATGGCAGACTTTGCAGGATGGCTGCAAAACTTCCATGTGCATAGAGCCAATGTGATGACTGACTAATTGATTGAAGTCTTAAGGATGTCACATGTACTTTATCAAGGGCAATTCTGGGTGCTCCTTACATCTGGTGCTAGCCCTTCCACTGTGGAAGGCTGTCCACTTAGTATCCTCTCTAATTACACTGACTGATTCAGCACAGGCTCTAAGGCTATTCAGTCTGCTTCTTCCCTAGTAATTTTCTTCAAAAAGGTCATGTACAGTTTATCGTGTCTTACTGCAATAATTCTCAGATGTTTTTAGATGTTCTTTTGTTTCATTAAGATACACAGCCTTTGTACAGCTTTTGATTTCTATTAATGCATAACTGGAAACATGAAAGACTTGGCCTAAGATGACTCACACTTATTGTGGTCTCAAGTAAATATTCTCTCAAGTTCACAGCCTCCTAGGTACTGTATTGATGCTGTATGGAACAAGGGCCCAGACTTCACTTCCGGGAGGAATCACAACCACGCTGCTCCTTTTTTGCTTGAGGCAGCAAGACACTATTTGGTTTTCGATTCTGTTGAAATGAAAGCCAAATTGCTTCAGCTGTGAAAACACAGGTCCGGGCATAATATGACTGACAAAGATTAAAACCAGCTATGATAGAAAGATGCAGTATTCAAAAGCAGATTATTAATTATAAGATGTATTAAAAGCAGGTGGAGACAGATGAACAAGGAGGAAGAAAAAAATCTCCTAGAAGATAGTTCCTTATTGTACTCAATTTTTGTACTTTATAGCCAGATTACCACTTTTTTCTCAGGACTGCAAGCAATCTTGCAGTTATCTTAAGTAATAAGATAATTTGTTTTCACACATGGTGGCACCACAGGCTCCTGTATAAGGCTGCTTGTTTCATTTTAGACAGGCAAGTTGTGTGGATACTGCACTTTAGGAAATTAGGATTAAGAAACAGTGAAAACCACTGTTTTACTAATTGTGCCATGCTTGCCTTCCCTGAGGCACAGTGCTCCCTCTGTTAATATACCTTATTTCAGATCCAGCCTGCTCTATTCTTTCTCATGCTTTTTCCTACAGGAATCGGTGTGTTAGAAGTCATTGAAACTTGCCCTATCCTTCATGGTAATATTAAGGGGTTGTGTACTGAATATAAAAAGGAATTCTAGCATGTCAGAAGATGCAGGGCACCAAAGGGTCCCAAACACTGTCTTTACTAGTAAGCACTCAGCTTCAATAAGGAGCTAGCTTAATGATGTTTGGGGTTTGGTGTGTGTTTGTATTTTGGGGGGTGGTGCTTTTTTTAAAGTCTAAAGACTCTGTAATTCATCAAGAATGAGGAAATAAATCTTATATTTCTCGTGTTTTGGAAATGGGTTAGGTATTGCTTCTATTTAATTTGTGACTTTGAATGTTGCTTTCTACCTAAAATTGCTCTGGTTTGGAGTTCTTAAAATCTTTTTTAGGCACAAGCTGTGGTACCCTCAGTTAACTTGCATTCACAAAATGCAAGGTTGTTGCAGTCTCCAGGTATTCCCTCAGCTTCAGGAGCAGAAGCCTTTTCATTCCCTCCATCCAACTGCCAGGGAGAGACAGCATTCATGGAGGAAGAAAGAGTTGAGACACCAAAGGTACAGCTTAAAATCACCCTACTGTTTTGTCAAAAATCATTAAGGCTAAAAGAGATTGTTGCCTTTGCAATTACTGCCTAGTAAAACACAGCTAGTGGCAGTAGCTGTAGCTTTTCAGTAAGGAATTGAAGATCAGTTCCTCCTGACAGGGTAGAGTTCATCATCCTAGCGCAAAGCACTGTGGAGTCAGGGCCAGCGCATTTGCTAATCCAAACTAATGTCACTTCATTGACCTTAGCACGCCTCCTGTGTTTTCACGCTTGCTGAGCTGGAGAACCCTGCTGCTTCCCTCTGCTTTCAGTAGCTTTTTACTCAAAGACCTGATGTTCTCAACCTGCTCCCAGGCAGTTACTCTGTAGCGTATGCTGTCCCCAAAACTCTGGTCTTCTGCAAGTTCTCATTCCTGGATAACCTCTCAGGATAGACAGCAAGTCAAATACAGAGACCTTTAGTATCTAAATACTTGATTTATAAATTTCTTGTACTAGCTGGACAAAACACATTGTACCTTTTTCTCTAAATTTAAGTATTCTCTGAGTGTCAGAGTTCTAGGTATTCCAGATTCTTTTTCTACTTCTCTCTTGCACATAATTTTGAATAGTCGTGTCTGTCTTTGATCGCTCATCTGCCTCTAGTGTTCTTTGCTTACATTCAATCTTACCACACAGTCATTTGCAAAAGAAAAATCAACCTACAAAAGTGGGGTTTTTTTTCTTTTTCTTCTCAAATATATTTTTAAGAGCCTTGAAGACTCGTCATACACAGCTTCTAATACACTGCTGAGGATCCAGAGTAACCTATTGAGCTACTTTTCTAAAAATTCAGACAAATGAGAACAGGAAGGTATCACGGAACCCTAACCATAAGCTTCCATTGCCAGCTAAAGTGATTAAAATACCATGTACTTAAAATCCCATATCTCTGTCAATTTCATAATAAGACAGCAAAAATAGTTACATTTTTGTTATTTTTTTGTTGAATGGTAAATAGCCAGCAAGACCTTCGGATGGTCAAAAACTGTTAGAACTGCAGCACTTCAGATAGATCATAGCAGTTCTCAGCTAGGCCATTTCTGTAACTAGGAATGTCTGTACAATGTTCACTGGAGACCATGTAAAATTGCAGCTCCATCTAATGGGTTTTGTTTCCTGTAATCAGACCGGAAGACTTAGTGTAAGCTTTCCACACCTCCACAGTTAAGAGACTTAATTGAACTCAACTAATAGGATGCGCGGCTCCACAGCCTTACAAATGTATGGTTACAGCTTAACTCTCTCAAGGGAGCTACAGTCTGATCTATTTTGCCACACAACTTTGAGGTCTGTGACAATACTCTGCAGGGTAGCAAAGCATAAATGAAATCCATGGGAGTTGGCAGTTAGAGCTTTTGTGAGGAAGGGGAAGTAGCTTAATAGAATTATGTTGATGAAATATATTATTATTATTCTTTTCATGAAACTTCTGTTCTCTCATATATCACATCGCATTCTAACTTTAATTTCAGCATATTGTATTTTCCCTGGTGCTAGCTAGGGTTTTGATTCCATGCTTGCAGTTTTGAAGCTTTTATTGCTCACCTACTGGTTAGTTACCAACACTAAGAGTGTGACCCTGGTTCTCATCACTGTTTTAAGTGACTCCTTGTGTGGTCTGTTACAGCTGGAAGGCAAAAAGCGTTTCAAAGACATTTGGAAGTCAACATTTCAAACTTTATTTTGCATTCCCCTTTTATCGGTGCAGTTTAGCCAGAGTAGATCAATAAATGGTTACTTCAGTGAGGTGTCAAATCATAATTGACTTGGGAATATTCGGTGTCTCAAGTATTATAGGAACACATCCACTAAAGGCTTCCAAGCTCTGATCCATGTGCCATGGTAACCTCCAGAGGGCCAACTGCCCACATGGTATTGGTTCTCTTTTTCCTTTCAAGCAGTTCACTAAATAGTCTTTCCAGTACTTTTGCTGCCAGATCAGTATAAGGCATTTGAATGGGAAAGTCACAAATGGAAAGTAATGTGTGCAAGAAATTAACCCATTAAATTAAAATACAGGCAGGCAGCAGACCCAAAATTTTTCTGTGCAAGCATCATTATTTTACTGATACTCAAAATATTTATAGCTATTTCTTGATACCACTTTAAATATTTTCCTAGAGTACCACCATATAGTCTGCTTGCAAGACCATTTGTTAAAAGCTACTGTTAATATGGAGTGAAGCTTCTTTTCCAGACACACTTCTTTTGCTTTCAAAATACCAAAGAGCCTTGAAGAACATTCAGGAATGGTTCATCAACAATTTTACATAAAATCACCTGTAGCAGTGCCAGGTTTTATGCTAAATGAGTCTGTTGTTTCACTCATATTTTACCCAAACTGATCCTTCCAAACAGTAGGAGTGACTTGTGCAACAGGACACTAATTAGAGCTTCTGAGGTATTTCAGAACACAATACCCACCACAAAACTGCATGACATGCAAGCTCTGGCCCTCAAAACCCAAGTAGTTGCATATGGCAAAGAATTAGTTAAAGTACAGAAGGTACAAACTGATTTGGTAAATAAAAACAGAATGAAAATCCTAGGAGTATTTTAGGTTGGAAAGGTACCTCTAAAGGCCCTCTAGTCCAACCTCCTGCTAAAAGCAGGTCTAACTTCAAAGCTAGATGAAGTTGCTCAGAGCTTTATCAAGTTGAGCAATTCCAAGGAGGGGGATTCCACAGCATCTCTAGGCAACCTTTGTTTGCAGAGGAGCACCATGAATTGAATGGACTTTTGCTGGAAAGGGTGCATTTATTGTATTATTCTTGAACACAGCTCTGCAAGAATGCCGCAGAATTAAATACAAGACTATTTTAGTCATGGTCCTTATCTGAGCGTGATAAATGAGCAGGGTAGGTATAGTAAGGGGAAACAATAATATTATGCATTCCATAAATATTTTGTATTTGTGACTAAGCTGGCAAAGGTTTTTAGTAACTTAAAATTAAAAAAAAAAAAAAGGCAGCCCTGGAGAACATAGTACTGTAAGTACTGTAAATATAAGTATTTCCATTTAGGGAGCTGAGTACTAAGAGAATGTCAGTGGTGATCCTACCTGGAGGGATTTATTTGTCATGTGCAATTCTTAACAAGTCTTACTTATCTCAGTAGACTATAGGGAGGTGCATGCAATTTAAATATCCAAGCTGCTTTCAGTCTACATGATAGACAGACATCTCTTGCACTTTGGGGCAATGCTCTGTGCACATAATTGAAAGCTGTCCATCTTCTCCTTGTGCCATTTAGGTAAACGGCTGCCTGCTAGATCCTGTACCCCCTGCAGTGATTAGGAAAGGATGCCAATCACTGCCCACCAGCATGATGGAAACTTCTATTGATGAAGGAATAGAGACAGAAGGCGAGTCAGAAGATGACCCTGCACAGGCGTTTGCAGCCCTCCAAGCAGCTCGCTGTGGGAAGCGACGTCACACTCTGGCGGAAGTTACCAACCAGCTGGTGATGATGCCAGGCACAGGTACAGAAATTAGCACAGACATCTCAAAGCTCATTTCCTGCTCTCAGCACTCAATCTAATAAGCCCAGGATGAAAAACACTAGGTTTTAAAAGTGACAAGCACAAGACAGAGTTTCTTGGTTTTGTTACTTAGCATTTGCTATAAAGGCCAAAGGGGAAAAAAAGAAAACATAACAAAACACCTCAAAACCTGCTGTACAGACAATATAAAACCAACACAGCGAATATACAGCTGGCTACAGTCATGTACAACCCCAATAGCAACTGGTAAAGTCTGGCAAGTTGGCTTGTTCTTTTTCACATAACTAGGAGTCCCCAAATCGTTCATCCCCTAAAGATGTGCTGACAGAGGACAGTGGGGAAAAAAAACACCTCTGGATTCTCAGACATTCCAAAACCAGCAAGATGACCAAGCCTTTCAGCTCAGGCTACAATCTTCTCAGGATTATCTACGGGGGTGGGAGAAGCAACAAAACCTGCACACTTGCCAGACGTGCCAGTGAACATCACCTGCCTAGCATCTCATCGCTGCGATAATGTAAAAACCACTAGCAAATCCCCATTCTTGTACTGCAAGCATTACATTACAATTACTTTATGAATCTTGATTTTTGTTTTATTTCCTCTAAGACAGTCACTGTTGGACGAAGTAGCTTCAGCCTGAGGCACTTCCTTTGCTTTGCTAAATTACTGCTGCACTTTCCTTTTCTGGCTTTTGTTTTTTGTCACAGGTAAAGTCTACTCATTGGATGAAAACTCATCTCTGGGCAGTATTGATTCAGAGTATGACATGGGATCTATTCAGAGAGATATTAAATTCCTGGAAGACACCCCTTCCCTGAAAGAAATGGTGCTAACTAACCAACAAGCACCCAGAATGACACCTTTCATAGGTCTGAGACCTGCCAATCCAGCCATGCAAGCACTTGCCTCCCAAAAGCGAGAGACCCACAACCGCTCTCCTGTCAGTTTCCGAGAGGGGCGCAGAGCTTCTGACACATCCCTCACACAAGGTAATTCTAACTATTGTCATGACACTTTATATCTAGACACGGTAGGAAATGTACTCCCGACACAGAAGCACCAAGCCACCTTGTGACTTAGTTGTTACTCAGCTTATCTCACATTTGCTGTGCTAACCAGATACAAATTAACTGATTTTCTGACAAGGGTTTTGCTCAACTCTTCTCCAGGAATTGTAGCATTTAGACAGCACCTCCAGAATCTGGCAAGAACCAAAGGAATACTGGAACTGAATAAAGTCCAGTTGCTGTATGAACAGATGGGATCAGAAGAAGAACCTTCTCTGTCATCAACTGCCACCCAGTTGCAGGACCTCATTAATAGTCCTCCGCAGGTACTTAAACCAGAAATCAAGCTCCATCTTTCAGGTGTTAATGCTTTGGGACTGATGAGGATTCTGGAGATCTGAGACGAGAGAATTTACAAATCAAGTTCCCTCTTCTCCTTTCTGTGTTCTGCAGAATAGAGAATGAGAATTTGCAGGCTAGCCTTTACCATCCTCATGGCATCAGTGAGATGGCCTTGTTAGCTTTTGGAATCCAACATTTTGTTATTGCTTTTAATCTGAAGGATGATTTGGATTTAACGAAGGCCAATAGCATCTTTCCCTGTTGGAGTTGGTCTGGTATAATTGTAAGAACTGAAAAAGCCAAGTGGTAACGGTTAGCCCAATTTGCGTAGTGAAATGCTAAAAAGCTTCTACCAGCTCCCTAGTTACTTGTTTCAAATGGAACAGGTCACAGCAAACAGAATAATAAGCTTCTGTTAAACCCCAGGAATAAAATGGGTAAGATGTACACACCCACTGTAAGCACCTAGTGTTCCAGATGAAGTCTGCTATTATTAAAGCTCCAGCTGTTACTTTCTCACTGCTGGAAAACTTCAGTTCTGACAACCACAAAGTTGTATTGTTTTCACAAGAATCTTTCAGTTGATGTAAACTCATGGTATTTTCATGACAACAAGTCATTCCCCTCCCATGTCAGTACTTTCCAGCTTGCTAGAGATGCCTACTCTGTGCGTATTCTCTCTACCACTATTGAAAGCTTTTTGCCTTCCATTCTGAAGCTGTGAAATGAGCTGCACAAAAGCATATTCAGAGTTTGGACAGTATTCTAACCCTGTACATTTACTATTTCAGAGGGCAAGTCAGAAAATACATTTTATATAATATCATTTTAGTTACAGATGTAAGCCCTCACCATTTTGCAGTATAGATTGTTCAAAGTTTTGCAATTTAGGTTCCTCACCATGCATTGAAAGTGGTGAGTGACACCAGAGACCAGTCCATATAGCAACTATGAAACCTCTGTCAGGGGAAATCCTTAGAGAAAGGGTTGAGGCAGAAAAGCCATTTCTGGGGACGAAACTTGTTCCTCTTCTCTCTGCAGGAGGAAGCATCTCAGCAGCAGGAAGCTGCATCTGCTTTCCCTAATGGTGCACATCCCCCATTACTATCCAGACGGCAGAGCTTAGAAACACAGTACTTACAACACAGGCTCCAGGTACCATACGTCCCCTCCACTGAATTAAAACAGCTGCTGTTACTACACAGCAGACTAGCCTTTTAGATCTTATTACTCAGGAAAAATCAGTCAAAGGCTAAATTAGCAGAGAATAACAGAATTTGACATTATGCTGTATTTTTCTTTTGTGAGATACTGACCTTAATTATGCAAAAAAGTATTCTATATTACTGCTGGTTTTCTACTCAGTCTGTTACCGTATAGTGTTGTTAGAGCAATTTGAAGTACCTGTTCTGTTAGTGAATACCGATTATCTTATGTTGCACCCCATAAAGATTATGCATCAGCACCTGAGGAGCCACTTCTGACCCCCTAGGGCTTGCTGTTCCCCCCCCCTCCCTTTTTTTTTTAAACCAATTTTCATACAGCTTTAGTTTATAGAAAACTTTTTCTCCAACTTGCAGCTTCTCTTTCACTTGGCAAGAAATCTTTCTGTGGATTTTTATGGTACAGTCTATCATGAAAGAATATTCTTTGTCTAAGGGTTAGAAGCCAATAAGCAGTAGTGGCTGATGTTTTAGATAGTAGATCTATTGACAGCTTCTGAAAATGGGGCTGGGCAATTACGCTGTCATAAGGGTAGACAATCTTCTTTCACTTGCTTTCTGGACTAATGCATTAAATCAAATGCAATTTAAAACAGCACTGCTTTTCTTGCAGAAACCTACTCTACTATCAAAAGCTCAGAATACTTGCCAGCTGTACTGCAAAGAATTGCCCCGGAGTCTGGAACAGCAGTTACAGGAGCACAGGTAAGAAGCTTTCAAACTATGCAGGTAAGTTACTTATTCTTACTCTCAAGAGTAATAAAAAAAAATCTGGAACAATCTTTGACTATTTAGAAATTCTTTGAAAAAGGAGAGCTCCACTTTTAAAAGGAGGAGTGTATCCTTGCAAATTTTAAAGAGGGACAACAGTCCTGCCATGTGTTTATAAATTTCTGCGCTACGAGCTCTTTGTCAGCTAACACTACTAGGGTGCAGGTAAACTGCAAATACCTGCAGGCTTCATTTAGTGCCAATGGGTGTATAGAAGCACAGGAGGAAGCTACTGCACTACTTACATTGTTGTACTTAATTTCACCCTCATCTTCCCAACCACCCACTGTTTATAACCTACATATTGCAGTATTTAGCGTAAGTCAGAACATGGATCATGTGTTTTTGCCTGCTGGGAAGCCCTGCAGTCATTTAGGTATTTCCTGTCTCATTTCCGTGACCCAATAATTCTACAGTAAAGTAAATCAGCTTTTTCTTGTAACATAAGATCAGTTTAGAAGTGACACTCCTCTGAATGAGTTACAGTAAAGAGTGAATAGATTTGAAGTGTCCCCTTGTAACTGTATGTATTGTAGCAGGTGAGATTTTAATTGCCAAATTAGAGGGCTGTGAGCTCATCATTTGGTAATGGTCAAACAAGTAAGCAAGATAGCTACTGAGGACAGTTACTAGCCCTGGGTTTTGCAAAAGAATCGCAGAAAGAGAAAGGAAAATAACAACCTAGCTACATGCTGTCTAGAATAAAAAGACCGAGGAACAGAGGTATAAAAATGCTACTTGATTTCAAGAAAGCATGCAATCTGTAACTACTTTTTAGCTTATGGCCACTCCTGACAACTGTAGAGTTGATTAATCCTAATCAAGAACTTAATTAACAGTATCGAGAGCAGCTTGGTGTACTTCTTTAAGAATAGAAAATCTGCAAAGAGAAATAAGCTGGGAAGCAATAGATGCATTTTCTGAATGCTGTTGGCTTGCTTCAGTAGTAGGCTTCCTATTTCGGCATGCTCTGGGAATTGGCTGGCAGGAGACCTCCACTTTGTCTTATCACAGGAATTTGTCAAGGGTAGCTATAACCTTGCATTGTGTTGTAAATTCTTATTGTTTGTAAAGAGTCAAAAACCTGGAGTTTCATAAAAGTTCATAGGGAGCAGTGCAGTTCAGAGAAAAAGAACTGGGGGGAAAGGAGACTTAGTTCATTTCCATTAGTAGCCAGCAATACTCAAGTCTTGAGCTCCCAAGTTCCAGAGAGCAGTGAATAGCAGGCTTAAAATACAAATACAATGCATCTTATTCTTAGCAAACAAAATTAAACAATGCATGGGGTTAACTTTATTGCACAGGAAAAATTCATTGCGTGATTAAAAAGGTTATCAAAAGGAGGTCTACAAACTCAGCCTCTGCACATTTGCTGAAAGGTGAAGGTTCTGGTCTGCTGTAAAGTTTAATAAACAAGCTTGCCCACAAATTTTCCAGTTCTGTACTTCACTCCCTGCTGGAACTGTTTGAGTGACTAGCACGCAGGACTCATGCTAGCACCTTAACACTTCAAACAGCAATTATTTTTGTCTTTTATGTCCTTCATTCAGGCTGCATCAGAAGAGACTCTTTCTCCAGAAGCAGTCCCAGCTGCAGGCCTATTTTAACCAAATGCAAATAGCTGAGAGCTCATACCCAAGGTCAAGTCAACTGCCACTTTCATGCCAGGAGGAGCAACAACAACAGCAACAGCAGCCATCATCCCAGTTTAGCCTGCAGCAGCCCCTGAGCCCTGTGATGGAGCCTTCCTCAGAACAAATGCAATACGACCCCTTCCTCAGCCAATACCAGAAGGTACAGCTAGATCCACTGCCACCCTCACAGATCACCAGCTCATCACGGTTGTCATCACCAGTCCAGGTGCAGCAGCCACCACAGTCCTTACAATATTCATATGAGACTTGTGAATTGCCTGTTGTCACCTCTTCTGAGCCAGACTACCCAGACCAGTGCCAGTATTCCATGGACCCAGCACAACAGAGCAGTGTAGCATTGCCTGACAGCCAGAGCAGCTCAGCACCTCATGAGTCCCAGTCAAACTATGATGCATTAACCCTCTCGGAATTGCCTGGACTGTTTGATTGTGAAATGATGGAGACTGTAGATCCTCAGCACAGTGGCTATGTCCTGGTGAACTAATACCATGGGGTGACTAACATGAGTGGAAGACAGGACTGATGGAGAAGCATGTGAATTCTTGTTTTTTGTTCCTACCCCGAAGTTCATGGTAATTTGTCAACCCTTGAATTAACAGGGGAACTAAAAATCCACCTCACTGGAAGAAAAGCAGGAGGTGGCGAGAAGCGTGCGGCCACTATCTCCTCTTGCTGGTGGGCAGGGGCTAGAGAACAGATAGTGCAGTCTCATCCCACAAAGAACTAGTTTGCATAGAAGGAGGCAGGAAAAGTGGATTTTAGAGGAAGGAAATAGCCCCTTCTAAAAAAATTGGGGAGTTTGTCAGCATTCGTCTAACATTCACTTGGAGAAACAAGAGTAAGTGTACATTGTATTGTACTTCTTGGCAATAAAAGCAATAGTTTTCATTGAAATTCAGGGTAGATTTGGGTCTGTGCTGGTGGCAACTGTAAGACTCTTGAAACAGTAGCATGATATGGAATTAAAGGAGAGTTGCACTTTGGCATCCAATTGCTGGTTAAGCTACTGATCTGGAACTACTCCACGATAAGTCTCTGAGATCACCAGGCATCTCAGACAGCCTCCACTTCCTCCTGCTAGCAAGTAAACAGTATTTCTCAAGCCTGCCAAGGAACTTTTAATTGGCCACTAAGGGAAGCTTCTGGATCTCTGTTAAGTGACATCTTGACTTTGTCAAAAGATACCTGGAACCGACACAGGGCACCACAGTGGTTTGTAGTGACCTCTGGGTGGGAATCAGAATACTAAAGGATAAAGGATTAGCTAACAGAGAGAAAGAAGGTAAGAAATACCATGAGAAAAATCAAGACCTGCAGCCAATGGCATTTGGAAAAAAAAAATAAAAATAAAAAAATCTACCTGTGTGGCTTTTGAAATCAACTGCTTTTGCAAGGAGGCCTTTGTGGTGGGCTCTGTCTTGGAGAAGTTCCAGTCACTGGAAAGGATCCATCTGTCCTTCTGTTGCATTTTAAAAACAAGCAAACAAACTGTGTTTTGAATTTGCAGTATGTGTTGCTGGTGGTTTCTTGAGCTTTGTATATTTGGACAATTATTTAGGGTTTTAGAACTTAAGGATAAAAACAATGAGCTTAAAAAAAACCCCTGTGAAGTGATAGTGCTGTGCCTTTTTCAGTTCTTTATCAGCCTATATGCTTTTTTCTGAAGAAAGTAGACAATACCCCATTTATATCCTTGCTATAGCCAAAGTCCCTTCAGAGCACACGTTCCACCATGTGGAACATAATGTTTAACTTTCTTAGTGTTTTGATTGCTTATGTATATATAACATTGAAAGTATTACAGCAATATTTAGCATCACAAACTGTTGATGTATCAACCATTTCAAGAAATACTAAACTCAACAAGGAGTTGTGTCTCCAGAACTTTCAGTCATGAGATGCGAGTCATAGGAGGATTGTTTAGGAATCTGCAGGAAGTTTAGATCTCTAGTTTGGGTTCTGTCTCTAGCCTTTAAGTATTGTGAGACATCACAAGATGACAGACCAACAAGGCTCACAGCTAGACAGTTCAGTCCTTTTCTGAGCAAACATTAAGCACAATTGCAGATTCATTAAAGCACAAAGGATGGTAGAGAAACTGTGCTGATCACATATGTAGAAAACACCACTGTGTGCTGGAAAGTTTGGTGAGCTAAGGTCTTTGATACTAAAAATAATGAGGGTGTAAGAAAGGTGGATTATCAGCCAGCATTTATAGCAATAAGACCATATTTAAACGTGGAATAGGAGGACTTTAGTCACTGCATTGTAGGTTGTGAGAAGGAGGGAAGGGCTTAACAATAGACAGAAGGCACCTTGCTTCTTGTATACTACAATTAGAGAGGCAACTCCTGTTGCTATGTAGCCTGCTGTGATACTGGTCCAGTTGTGCAGCTGGACTCAATCCCTAAGTGCTCAGCTTCTACCTCTGATACCAGCAATTCTCAAGGCATCAGCAAAGGAGAGTTTAAAGAACAGGGAACACATCCATACATTACTTATGTGATGTACGATAAAGAGGGCTAGAAAGCTCTACTTTAAATAGCCGAGATAAAAAAATATTGTGTGGTTTCTTTCAAAAGGAAACTCATCTGACACACTTTGTAGCTCTGGAACACAGAAAACCCTATGACACCTGAAGTGACTACCGAAGGGAAACAGCTTGACAAATACTGCGGCGTAACAGGCCAGGCATGTCACTACTAGGGGGGGGAAAAAAAAGAAAACAAAGAGTCCTGTCCTTTCATTTCTTCTTCCCTGCCCCACAGCATAATAAACACTTTCTAGAATTTTAATATCTGACCAAGCACTCAAGGAACTACACAGTGAAAACTGCTAACGGGACACACAACACCTATGGAGACAGGTGTACTTCTGCTCCAGGAACTGGGTTACTTCCATAACTATAACCACTTCCTTCCCCATCCAACTCCAGGATACTGTACATTTCAGGACTCCAAGATAAAAATAGTTCCGTTCTTGAGTTCTGCAATTCATTTATCAGGATGTGCCAACTAGTCTAAGCTCATTTGAGCTTTGCAGTGCTGGTAAGGGGGAAGCTACAGTGTTTTTTAATGTACTTTAGACCGACTCTTCCCCTCAAGCAAAAGTATATTTAACATTTCATGTAATTTCCTTTAAGCCAATTAGAATAAAAGGCTTCTAATGCCTTCTAATAAGGCAGAGTATCCATTGGGTACCACTTCGTACTACTTCAAAGTCATTTTTTCTGTTCAAATCTGTTATGTCTAACATTAGAGAACTGTGGACACTACTGTTAGCGTAATTATTAGCTTTATTATCTTGTATTACAGACTCCTTTGAAGAGACTTTGGTGTGATGTATATGGGGTAAAAATTTCATATGGAGAAAAGTGCAATATGTGTGTGTGGTACGTTCTTTAATGTATTTTTTTAAGGAGTTAGAGGGTTTAGTCTCTGCTTTGGGATAAATGCACTAGTTTTGTGAGCTCCAGTTTGGCAAGTTCATCTGTAGTACTTACATGTAACTGATACGCTGGACTCTGTAAAGCAATTACAGTGTATTAATACAAAATAAAGAATATGTGCATTTGATTTTTAAATATCTAGTGAGCTAAAGCAGCCCCTGCCCCTCTTGTGTTCTTAGCGGCCTCTTTATGTATTATACTGAGGTTATTTTCGCTCTGAGGCACCAAGCTACAAATGACAAAAAAGAAAATTAAAGTCTACTGCAAATGCTGGATTTTCTAGACCGAAGTTGGCTTCTTATCATTTTGACATACATGGCGTAGTAGATAGCACTGACTTTTGAAGGCAAACATGAATGGACAAAGCATTCTAAGAGCTTCAATGAAAAAAGCTGCATTTCTTTACTATCTGCTATGCCATGGAATGTCAAACACTTCAGGAGCGTACATGCCTTTGACACCGGGAAGGTCATCTCTCAGTGGTGTATTACCTTGACTTTGAAAGAGGAAAGTTATTCTCAAATACTATCAGTTTTGACGTTTTTCCACATTAATTAGTATACCCTATCCAATGGGTGATACAAAAGCAGTTTAATGCTGGTCATATAATGCTAAAGCCTAGGACCACTGTGCAAAGGGGCATGGGAGTTTGGGGATGGCCGGAGGGACTCCATCATAACTTCGTGAGGAACATAATCACAACATACCATCATGTCATCCCATGCTCCACTGGCAAGTACCAGCCTGGATTCAACTGGAATAAAGCACTTACAGAGGGAGCCACTTAGGCTCAGAATTATTACCTCACAGAAAGAAATTAGATTTTTCTTTTAGACAAGCTAGTGAAACAGTTTTCCCCAAGACTCCGGAGTTACTGTAAAATTTCTTGAGGTTAGTTTTTTTGTTTGTCTCCTGTTACATCAAGTGCAATTAAAAAGAGATAGTGTCCACAAGGAAGATCTGCTTACCTGCTTTTCTAGTTTTCCACATTATCTTTACCTGTAAAAATATTCCTTCTCTGTACATCCCCTACAAGATTTGTTTGAGCAATGCAAAACATTTTGGGACAGGATGGGCGAATCTCAAAAAATGAAATCAATTCTTTTCTGGGAAAAACAACACTCCTCGACCAAAATAGAGACCCAAATAAAAGCACTGTCCTAAATGCTTTCAATTAAAGCTCCTTTTTTTCTGTAGAGAAAAAGGTTGCAAAAAAAAAAAAAACCAAACAAAAAAAAAAGGATAGGTCCCTATTAACAGCCATTCTGGATAGCACAGGAACAGTGGTTTTTAAAGTTACTTACATTGTCTGGACCATGCATACTTTCCACTGATTTAATTCTTGATAAAAACCCAATTGGACTAGTACAATTCGATGCTATAGGTGTGACTATACCATGCAGTGTCACTTACAATGGTTTTATTTCCATAGGTGTACAGGACTGTATAGGTTGGCAATAGGTGTTGGTAACCACATAGGGGTTTTACTGACTGTTCTAAATTAAGAGAGTTTTGGAAAGCTACTCATGCAACAGTAAATTACAGCTAGATCCTACTGAGCTAGTTATGCTACCAACTGCCACAAGTCTGTATTTCTGCAGCCCACATACACACAGAGTTTGAGGCAGACCAAAGAATCAAGGCACTGCATGGGACACTGCAATCTTTTGTAGAGACTAGAAAACTTCTTGCCACAAGATGGTACAGTACTTTCCATTTTCATGAATAAAAGTCTCATTCAAAATTACTTAAGAGGAGATCAAAAGCCATCAGGCAAAGTTAGGGAAGATTTCTTTTCTGTGGAATCAGAAACAGTAAGATTACCCATGTTTTCTGCCCTCCCCCTTCTCCGCTCAGACAGCAGGTTTGAATTGGCCTGTAAGACACCTCCGGAGAACAAAAGACCCACTCCCAAGAATAGAACAAGACATAGATATTCATGAGTTGCATCCTGTTAACTACTTTCCTTAAAGCCTTTTACCCTGATCTGGGGTGTAATAGGCTTACTTTGACTGAGCCTAAGACAATTGACGACT